TCATCATCTTCCTTCATTTCCTTAATAAGTGATGACACTATTGTTGATTCTGGGTGCACTGCCGACTGTGTCTCACATTATCTCTCTATATCTCTCTCTCTCTCACACACACACACACACACGCACACACACACCATCCTCACAAGGAAGCAGTATTTTTGTTTTTCTTTTGCCTCAATTTCACAGAAAGGAAGGCACAGAGCTGTAATCCATGCCTTTATAGCTGCCATGTGACAGGGATGAGGTGACACCACCTGAACTGTCACTAAAGGCCACATACCACTGTGCCTTACCACCAGTGGCTTACACAGCCCTGGCCATGTGCACTGGTCTTCATTATAATGCAGTGACAGCCACTGGCTATTTCCTCTATCATAAAGATATAAAGCTGAGGCCATTAGGATCCAAGTACCCTTTCTAAGCTTTCCCAACAGAAAGAGTCAAAGCAGAATTTCAAACCAAAAAGCACCCAAGCCCCCACAGGCTTCTCTGGTGGCAATCCACAGACTTACAGATATTTAGCATCTGTCAATCATGTGCATACGGCAGTCTCTAAGATCAGGGATCCAGGGACGTATGCATTTATGCTGGGGACTCTAGTCATATAAAGTAGCTAGACAAAAAAAAAAAAAAAAAAAAGTAGCTAGACAACTGGTTGTGGCATAATCAGTTTGAGCTAATGATGCCACATCATCTTTTACAGGTGGACAAGCCCTTCTCCAAGGATGTCAGAAGCCAACGCTTTAAAGGTAAAGTCTCAAGAGTTTGAAATCCTGGGGTGGGCGTGTCCCTCCCCCCACTGGGGCCAGTTCTGCATCTGTTACCATCATTTTTTGTTCTTTCCCTGTACCCAGCACAGTTTTATAGACATGGTATCTTTGTAAGTAAACTTTCTTCCTTCTCTTTTTTTTCTTTTTTAAATTTGTATTTATTTCTTTTTATTTTACCTCCCCTGCTCCCGTGGTCCTGTGTCCTGCTTGTGGTCACAGGCTCCTGTATGCCTTTATTGAATTATGCTCTGAGAAATGACTGTCCAATTCTGCAGTCAGGCATGCCTTCCTACTCTTTCACAGTCTTACCTTATTGACCAAAAAATTGATTGTGAAACTCATATTCTGTTCTACATTGTGAGAGAAAGGTATTGTTTCAAAAACATATGGATTGCATTCAAATAAGTCATTTCTATAAGCGCATGCCCTGAAAAAAAAAAGTCACAAGATAGGAATCTAATTTCAAAATGTTGATTAATGAATATGAAAATAGGCTTTATAGCTTGAGGTAAAACAACTCAATTTGAAGGCAGAAGCACAGGTACAAGCCTGAAAGGAAGCAATCAATTCTACTGATGCCAGAAGCGCAAACCGAGGGCAGCCGGAGAAATTCCACTAGATTGTATCCATTATAGGTCTCATCATTTTCATTTTTCTGTCTCATCATTTTCCTGTGCCCCCATCGTCTCTTGTGATGTCCAGTGAAAAAGATGTCATTTTTGTGATTTACAGTCCACAAGAAGAAGCCCACCAACTTCCTCCATTCATTTCCTTAATGCTGAATCCCAAAGTGTCTTGTACACGGCACCTTTAACAAGGAAGTGCAGCACAACAGGTCCCAACAGGAGATAGATGATGAACACAAATTAAAGTAGTTTCAGCAAGTTTACTTAACACAGGCGGTGGCACATGCCTTTAATCTCAGTTTGAGGCAAGCCTGGTCTACAAAGCGAGTTCCAGGAAGCCAGAGCTGCACAGAGAAACCATCTTGAAAATTTAAGGAAAGAAAGAAAGAAAGAAAGAAAGAAAGAAAGAAAGAAAGAAAGAA